GTTCTTTATTGAGACCTTATTTCAAGGCAAGTTACTGTTGAGAGAAAGCATGGAGGATTAGTAAAAGCAAAATTAATTCCCCTTTATAAGATAAGAAGCCATTCCTTTGTTAAAATTGTGCTCCTCCCCTTTAATATAGCGCCTATTTAAATTGAGGTAAAGAGTCCGTGATGAATTCTATTCTGAATTTTGTGCCATCTGAGTCTAGACCAGCTCTGTGGGGAGACATTCCTTGAAGCCTGAGGAGAAAAGAGGGAGGAGCCTCTATCTGCTTGCCATTGTCCCTTGCCCTCCTCCCTGGCACTCCCTGGGTGGGTGAAGATGCCAACTGGTTTGTGATGCTGACATCATGTAGGAATGAGGTCCTCTTGGAGGAAAAAGATTTGAAAACTTTCCTCTTGTTTTTATAAAACTTATTTGTCTAACTTCTTGAAAATTCCAAAAAGCTTTTACCAAGTTATCATTAATTATATGTTTATGACATTTTTTCTAAAAAATCTAGTAAGGATCCCATTTTTAAAAAACTGATAGGTTATAGAGGTGTTACATTTTGAGTAAATGTGCTACCTATTATTTCAGATCGATGTACTGATGAAGAAGGCATTGCTATTTTTAAAATATTTTATAGACATAAGAATGTTTGGCCTAATGCTATGAAGTTTTTTAAAAGGACTTTGCCACATTTGCTTCTAAACATGTAGTGCTCACACCCACTTCAGCTGAGAGCCTGTGAGAGCACCACACCCTGGCCAATGTGAGATACTCACCTTCTTTAAAGTAGCCTCTGATAAAATTTTTCAGGCTTTATTTTAATGTGTATTTCTTGCATTATTTGTCAAGTGGAAACCCGCTTTTCAATAAGATTATTATTTTATAGACTTTAAAACATTCTTTTTTATATTATGAGTTCCTTGTCTTTTATATATTTTGCAAATACTTTCAGTCTTTCCAGGGGAAACAACACCTCAACTAAGCCAAGAGGGAAAGTAGGAGTTAGACACATGAGTGTGAGGGACTTGTTAAGGTGTGGGATCTGCTTCTGTGAAAGCCCTGGAGAATGACAAGCGGCTCAGCATGAGGAGAACATGCTTCATGCAGAAGCATCAAGAACCCTAGGAGCTTCCACATACACGCCATGAGAACAATGGCTCCATCTGCTATTCCCACTCTCTCCTCTGCACTTAGACAAGGAGGACAGGTGATATGAGCTGTTGGAATATTTGTTGAGTGAGTAGAGCCGCTGAATGGTGCTTACTGTGGACCCCTGCAAGCCTCTGCCCAAAGATATTTTCTGCATTGTTATGGGAACACACTAGGCCACTGTTCAAGAAAGGCAAAGCCCCCAGAATCACTCTCAACAAATGATGGAGAATTGGTAGGATGATAAATACCCCTATCTGCTATCCAGAGGGATGGATAACTCTAAGGCATGTCCTGTAAGGACTCCCAGAGTCCCCAATGGGATTGCCCTTTAGTTTCCCACAGCGATAACTGCATAGTTAACTCACTCTTCAGATAGGATCCTCCCTACCCTGTCTCACTTCCTGATTCCCTGCTGCTGTTTCTGGGATTATCTCCCAAATATAGTACTTGCGCAAAAATCCTTTTCTAAAGCCTTGTTTATGGAGAAATCCACCCAAGACCCACTGTAAGCAAGACCCACAATTAGCAAGGCCAGCAAGCTAATTGAGAAGTTTGGAGCTTGCCCCGAAGAGGATGTGTGGAGGAAAAATAAGCATTAGAATGACATGACCAGATTTGTTATTTTTATAAGCTCATTCTGGATGCTGCAAAGAAAATATATTTGAGGAAGGTGAGTTTAAGGAAAGCAAAGGATGCTGGGCACGCTGGCTCATGCCTGTAATCCCAGCACTTTGGGAGGCTGAGGAGGCTGAATCATAAGGTCAGGAGTTCAAGACCAGCCTGGCCAACACAGTGAAACCCCATCTCTACTAAAAATACAAAAATGTAGCTGAGCGTGGTGGTAGGCACTTGTAATCCCAGCTACTGGAGAGGGTGAGGCAGAGAATTGCTTCAATCCGGTAGGCAGAGTTTGCAGTGAGCTGAGATCGCACCACTGCTCTCCAGTCTGGGCAACAGAATGAGACTCTGTCTCAAAAAAAAAAAAAAAAGAAAGACAGAGGAGCTGGGAGACACTTGTAGTAATTCCAGTGAGAGAGTATGATGGTGCTGATGTAAGCATGGCAGCGGAGATGAAATAGCGTGGGTAGATTTATGAGATGTTCAGGAGCGGGAAAGCCTTGCATGCGGTGAGTGAAGGAGAGTCAGGAATAGGGGATGGGCTTCGGGTTTCTGGACTGCACAGTTGAGAGGACAACATGAATATCGCCCAGAAGGTGAAGCAGGCTAGGGGAGAGGGAAAGAATAAATTCACTCCAGTGTGTTAGTCTCAGCTGCCTGTGATGTGTGGAAGTAAAGGTTTTTGTCAAGAAGCTTAATATCACCCATATTTTTGAGACAGACACTCCATCTCAAGGCATCAATCTTTTCCCCTCCCTTACCACTCTGCTATAAAAGATTGACTAACTCACTGCCAGTCTTCCGTTTATTTCAAATACTGTACTGATCAGGAGAGCAAGGCGAAACTTTACCTACAAAGAAATAGAGAACCTATGGAGTCAGAAATAACTTTCAATGACTTTTTCCCCCTCATTCTTTAAAATCTCTCTTTCTCGATATAGCTAGTAAGTATTGTAAATGGATAACGTTTCTGGAACCATTAGGAAATGGGGTATTTCCATTCCCCAGATGAATTTTTCTAGCTAGCAGAAGTTTAATTCATGGCAGTAATATGACTCAGCCAGTCCCTATACAATGTGAATGAAAAAATGAAGACTAACTTTAATAAAGACTAGGGAAAATGAGCTACAAAAGTCCGTTTGAAGATTGTATATCAGCAAATGGGTACCTACGATTTGTGGCTAGAGACCACCTGTCAAAATGAAACACACGTTCCCTCGACTTGGGAACTTTAACAAACATGAAAAAAACAGAGTTATCACAGCAAAGATGAATTATGAATTCACACACACTCAAGCAGACACACACTACAAAATATGCTTGCACATATTTAATAGGAAGCCTCTCTTACATGTTATTAGTTCCCCCAATATTTGAAAAGAGAGTTTTCTAATTGTGGATAATTTAGAGTTGTTCCTATGGCTAATAGTGATTAAATTCTGCTTTAAATACAGTGAATTCTAGAAGCGAGGTGCAGTTTTATATCTGTATTTCTTATAGAATATTTTATCTTTCATTTTATTTGCTGGTAGGTGAGTTCATAAAAACTGCTTCTACTTTGTGTTAACTTTCATCAACCTTTAATATCTGCTCTTAATTTTCTGTGCTCTTAAAAAACAAATAAGCTACTTCAAATTGTATCAGAACAGGCTGGGAGAGGTGGTGCACACTAGTAATCCCAGAATTTTGGGAGTCCAAGACAGAAAGATCACCTGAGGTCAGGAGATCAAGACCAGTTTGGCCAACATGGTGTCAAACCCTGTCTCTACCAAAAAATACAAAAATTAGTCAGGTGTGGTGCTGTGTGCCTCTAATTCCAGCTACTAGGGAGGATGGGGCAGAAAAAAAATTGTATCAGAACAGTGTAGACATGTAGACATATACTGACAGGGATAAGGTTTTGTGATAACTTTTTGGTTACTGAAAACATTTATGAATACAAGTAAGTCTGTGGCGATGTTGTAGAATATTGAGGTCTCCATGGTTTGACTTCCAAATTAGTGCTTTATTAAACTCTGTGTCAGTGTATGTACACCTACTTGGGCTGTGTCTTTTCTACTATGAAACATATTTTAACTATGAAATGAATATTTTAAAGAATCAACATGGGGCTAGGCACGGTGGATCATGCCTGTAATTCCAGCACTTTGGGAGACGGAAGTGAGTGGATCACTTGAGGTCAGGAGTTCAATACAGCCTGGCCAACATGGCAAAACCCCATCTTTACTAAAAACACAGAAAATAGCCAGGCGTGGTAGCATGCACCTGTAGTGCCAGCTACTTGGGAGGCTGAGGCAGGAGAATTGCTTGAACCTGGAAGTGAAGGTTTCAGTGAGCCAAGATTGCACCAGTGCACTCCAGCCTGGGGTACAGAGTGAGACTCCATCTAAAAAAAAAAAAAAAAAAAAATCGGTTACAATTTTTTTAATACATAAAGAAGGTTTTATAGTAAGTGATATTTTTTGTCAGGAATCGTGTGGCCTTACTGTATATTAAAACTAATGTTCAGATATTTTCTACAGTAATAACTGCCCCCAACCTTGTAAAATCCTAGAGATGATGGCCCTCTTAGCTCTTCTTAGAACTCTTAAAAATGCCAGTAGGTTATTTTTGACAAATAATCACCATACATTTAGATTTAGATTTAGTGTATCTTGAGTTTATCTTCTGAATTGTAATATCATCTTTTACTTGAAATATAGATACATGCATTTATTCATTTATCCATATTCTTATTCAACCTGTGCTTCATTTCTGAAACAATTCAGGGAAATATTAATTACTTAAAATAATTTGTCTCTTACCAAAAACATTTTCTATTAACAGTTAAAGTCATGAGAAGTATAATGATTTTACAATATTGAATCATATTATCCACAGGCCTAAGGTAAGGTCTTTCTAGAACTCAAGTGCTTGTTAAAAATTCACATTGCCAAATTTCTCTCCCCTTTTCTTGGCTAAACAGTCATTTTTTTCTTATTGTCATAGATCCATGGGTAATCAAATTGGATATACATGCAATGGAATCATATACATGTCATTAGCCACACTTGTTAAACCCAAGAAATACAAATATAGCTTTTATTTCATTTACTGTGTGCATTACCAGGCTTTTCTTCCTTCCTTTAGAATCAACATGATATAACATGGAGATGCTTGCTAATAGGTTGGCTCTGCCTTCCTACCCAATTCTTACTTATGGCACTGACACCTGATAGCCTCCTATTCTTTCTCCTTAGCTATCCCAAGCTCCAGTGTCCTCCCTTCAGCTCCCAGAGATGTGGTCCCTGTCTTGGTTTCCAGCCGATTTGTCCGTCTCAGCTGGCGTCCACCTGCAGAAGCAAAAGGGAACATTCAAACCTTCACGGTATTTTTCTCCAGAGAAGGTGACAACAGGTAGGTGATACTACCAGTAAAATTCAGCTTAATCCATCATCTCTTTAAATCGATACCACTGGGTAATAGCAGGAGGAGATCTTGGACAGGAGCCTTGAAGAGGCTGTGAAATCGCCACTATTTCCTTCACCCATTTCTAAATGAGTGCAGTTTTTAAAAGCAATGTTGTTTACAGAGACTAATTAAATAATTTATATAAAACTTCCTTGAAAAGGGTAAGGATATACTACATCAATTTTTTATTTCTTTCATTTTCAGAGTCATAAGCAGAAAACAGAATTAGGCTGTATATTCGTGGTTATGAAAGCACTACTTATTCTGGCTAGTTTGCAATTCCATTTTTGTCATTGACATCACATGATCTCAAAAAAAAATGACTTCTCTGAGCCTCATTTTCCTCCTTAATAAGGAGGAATTTATAATACTTACCTTAAAATGTACAATAAAGGGTATAATGGATTGTTTGCAATGCAAAAGGCAAATGCTAGAGATGATGGCTGCCCCATTTACCCTGGTGTGATTATTACACATTGCATGCCTGTATCAAAATACATCATGCATCCCATAAATACGTGCACCTATTATGTCCCCATGAAAATTAAAAGTTTTTAAAAAACTAAAAAGAAAAAATAAAATTTAAAAATATAATACATACCTTGCAAGGTTTTTGCTAACATTAAATTAGGTTGCATATATTAACGTCATATCAGAGTGTCTAGTATTTGGTAGAAGTTGTTATTGTGAATATTATTATTGACTAGGCAAAAGTGAGTTGTACCCGTCTGGTTTCAAGATTACGATCCACGGCATTTTTTTTCCCCAACATTTTTCCCTTAAGATGCTTCACCATCTTATGACTTTGAAAGTTGATGTTTAAGTTGGAGGTAAATACTGGTTAAGTTCCACATGAGGGGAAACAGAGATCCATGTCCTAGGCATCTAGTCCCTCAGATCTGTGAGTGCTGTAAACGTGGTGATCTTTAGAATTCAAAAGGGAAAATAGAAATTGGATAAACCAAAATGTTACTTACTTCAACATGGGACAGTCTGAGGCTCAGGTGGTACAATACCCCTCCTCACCTGCTGGGTCTCAAAATGCTATCCTTTCCAGTTGGCATCAAGTTCAAGTATAGCCTTTTAAAGTTTCTGTTATCTTTTACAATTTGACTTTACTTTAAAATGAAAGGAAAGAGACCACACATGGTGGCTAACACCTGTAATTCCAGCACTTTGGGAGGCCTAGGTGGGTGAAACACCTGAGGTGAGGAGTTCGGGACCAGCCTGGCCAACATGGTGAAACAATGTCACTCCTAAAAATATAAAAAGTTAGTCGGGTGTGGTGGCACGTGCCTGTAATCCCAGGTACTTGGGAGACTGCGGCAGGAGAATCGCTTGCACATGAGATGCAGAGGTTGCAGTGACCCATGCCACTGCACTCCAGCCAGGGCGGCAGAGTAAGACTTCCTCTCAAAAAAATTTAGACATACCCAACACCCATATTACCTTATGATCACTAAGATTATTATTACTGTGAAGAAACAGCCATTTGTTTTAGTGTTATCTCTGCAACTATTTGTGATCTTACGATGCCTCCTAAGTTCCTTGGATTTCAGCGTGTGCAGTTGTGGAAACTGGAAGCAGTAATTCTGACCCAGTCATCTTCACATTTTTACATGGATTTCCTGGAGGCATCTTAAATCAGCCTACCTACAACATACTGTCTTCTCCTTATGCATATTTTTCCTTTTTTTAGTTTATGTTAGTATCTTCCATCCCGTTGACCAAGCAAAAAATTCATGCCATGTTTTACTGACTGCTGCCTCCCAGCACTGCCACTCCTCATCAAGTCTTGTCTTGTCACCTTTACCTTGGCCACAGCTCAGACATGCTTTCTTTATTCTATTACTTTCAACATCTTTACTTGACCTCTGGGAATCACTCCTCACCTTCCTCACTGTTTGTAGTTATCTTTTTGAAATACTCTTTTGATCACTCATTCCACTGCCCCAGAATGTGACTGGTTCTTAAATACAATAAAATTACTATACAAAGACATGCACATGTAACTTCAAACTTCTTTCCATGGAAGTCTAGCCCCAATCTATCTGTATCTCTATCTATCTGTCCATATGGATATATGTAAAAGTGTGGTTTCTATAATCTGTAATGGCTAAAAATTTTTCACTGAAGTCACAAGAGCTAGATTTGAAAATATTTCTACTATTTACCAGATGTGTGACTTTTCTGTATTTAATAATGTATTAAATAGGAATAATACTTTTTTGTTAGAATAAAAGGAAGATAAATTCTACCTCTTAGCATTGCTATGAGAACTGAGGGAATTCATGTAAAGAATTCAGGGCAGTTACTGCATGCAGGCAGAATGGAAGGGCTCAGAAGAGTGTGAGCTCAGAGACAATGTGGAAAAAGTTGAAATTCAGGCCCAAAGAATAGGAAGAAGGAGGATGAGGATGATAAAGGGAAGAAGAAGGGGAAGGGGAAATGGTTGAAATTGCTATGTTTGAGTGCACCATTTATTTTTGAAATTGTTCACAAGCCTGCTTATTATACAATGTTGTCCTTTCCTCTTCTGTTGAACTTTTTCTTATCTTCAATCCGAAGCATTAATCCTCCATACCCCCTTGGCTACTCACTCCGATGGTTATGCCATGGACCTCGATAACACCAATCACTGCAACCTCTCATTATCTCAGTTTCAAGTCGTATTCTTGCCTCAGTCTCCAGACTCTTGTCTTACTATTCTTTATTTGGGACTCTGAATACAACAAACTTTTGATTTCACAGAGACCTACAATCCCTTGATCGTATCCCTTATCCTTCCTGTTTTCCTTCACTTATTTCTTAACTATAATTCCATAGCCAGTAAACAGAGCAATTAAATACTTGCTGACTTGCATCAACGTTTTGCCTGCTACTCTCATTTCCTATTACTTGCTTAGCAAAAACAAACTCAAGTAAATATAACTTTCTACTTACTCTTCACTTGTGCTCTTGAAGCTGAATATAGCTAATGGAAAAGGCACAACTGGGCTGATTCGTCACACTTTAAATTCATAGCTACTAATCTCATGTTGCTTATTAATGCTACTGGCAATTATGCTACATTTATCAGTCATCCTCTCTCACATATACTCCTAATGACATTTCATACCCTTTTCTCTTGTCCCAAGTCTCCAACACCTTCCCTCTTTCCTCCACTCTTACCTGACCTTGATTTTAATTTCATGAAATATCAGAAGGGGAATTCTATATGCTTTTATATGTGACTTTTTTTTTTTAACACAAATGTGTCCTTTTTAAGCGTGTAATCTGTCTTTCCTCAAATTTCCGTAAAATAACTGCCTGTACTCTTTAGATAAAGCCAAACCTTCACTTGGGCATAAGATCCCATCTTTTCTTACAACATAAAAGAGCAAATCTTAAGCCATTCTTTCTCTGTTCTGTTTCATCAATTTCTCCCACTAAGGTGAATTATGTCTATCAGCGTGTCAGCATGCAGTCGGATCTTCCATTGCAACAAATTCGACTTCAATCTCACTGTTCTCTTCTTCAGCACTCCATGATCTGTTCTCTTCCATAGGAACATTCCTTGAATTGTCTAACTTCACTCCAATATCTTACATCATGTTCCAATAACTATTTTGTTCCTAGAATGTAATAGGAATTGCTCTTATCAAGGTTCACCAATAACCTCCTGTTGCTAACCTAATAGTCAATTCCTGGTATTCACATTACTTGAACAATCAGCACATTTTGTCACATTTGATCATTTCTCCTTTTGTGAAGTTCTTTCTTCACTCAGTTTTCTATTGCACATTCTCTCCTCATTCCCTCTGGCTACTATTTTCAGGCTCTTTACTTTCTTACTCTCAGTTTCTCTGATCTGTAAATATTGAATGGCTTCAGGACTCAAGTCTTTCATCCATTCCTTGACTGTATTCTGTGAGCATGCTGATGTGTTCTAAAATTGTATCTCTGGCCTAACATTTTACCTGCCATTCAGATTCATATGCTCAGCTTCCTGTTTGATTTCTCAACATCAATGTCCCATGGGCATCTAAAACTTATGGATAAAATCAAATACATGTTTCACTTCAACCCCAACTCCTTCCCACCAAATACTTCATCATTCCAGAGTTCCCCCCACCACTGAAATATTCATATTTCTCATTGATCGGGCCAAAATATTTGGAATAATTCTTAACTCTTAATTACTAATTCTTATCATGAAATCCATCATCAAATCTTGGCAGTACCATCAAAATATATCCTGAATCCATGAAATAACATACCAAGTCTTGTTATAAAATAATACTGGAATACTGGCTATGATTTTATATTTTGAGCTGAATTAGGAGAATAAAACCATTCATCATATTATTCTGCCTAGTTTTATATTGTTTAAATTTTCATAATAAAAAATTAAAATCAAATAAAAAGAAAACATGGCCAGGTGTGGTGGCTCACACCTGTAATCCCAGCACTTTGGGAGGCCAAGGCGGGTGGATCATTTGGGGTCAATAGTTCGAGATCATCCAGGCCAACATGGTGAAACTCCGTTTCCACTAAACATACAAAAATTAGCTGGGCTTGGTGGTTCATGCCTGTAATCTTGGCTACTCATGATGCTGAGGCAGGAGAATTTGCTTGAACCTGGGAGGTGGAGGTGGCAGTGAGCCAATATCAAGCCACTGCACTCCAGCCTGGGCAACGGAGCAAGACTCTGTCTCAAAAAAAAAAAAAAAATTTTAAACCAAAAGCAAAATGTATACTGAGTCCTACCACTCCTTACTGCCTCCTTAAGTACAACTAAATCTCATCGGAACTACTGCAGTAATCTCCTAATTCTAGTCTTATCATAGCAGCTAAAGTCAACCTTTTAAAACATAAATTAGGGTATGTCATTGCTCTGCTTCAAAGCTCTTTGGTGAAATGCTTGTCTCATTCATAGTATTAGCAGAAGTCCTTGCTCTTGCCTC